CAGTGCGTCCTTGACTAATCGCCTGAGTTCATTGAAATCAGCTTTCCTAAAGTCTAGCACTTTCACCCTACTAGTTACCTTACCCACTCAACGTCTTATGGTGAATTCTATTATTGGGTGATCATTGTCCCCAAGATGGCTACCGATCTGTAGGACCCCTACCACGTCATCCCCCGTTGCTAATACCAGATCCAGTATGGCATTTCCCTTAGCGGGACCGTGTACCTCCTGTGTCAGGTGGAGGTCCTGTACACAGGTTAGAAACCTGCGTGAACGGTGGGACTTTGCCGTCTGCATCTCCCAGCAGATGTCCGGGTAGTTATGTCCGGGTAGTTTACCACCAAATCCGGTAAAAAAGGAGAGAGTAGAGGTTTTTGGTGAGACTGTAGTCTCACCAAAAACCGGGTAGAAGAGGCGGTAGTTATGTCTGGGTAGTTTACCACCAAATCCCTTTCTCCTTGCCCCCCATGTAGCCTAACCCACCATCCTTCTACTTCCTCATCCTTTGATTCCGTCTTGATGAGGGTTGATGTATATTGCTCATTGACATAGAGCGCAACCCCTCCCCCTTTTTTCCCCACCCTGTCCTTTCTGTACAATCTATAACCCTCAATATGTACCGCCCAGTTGTGGGACGAATCCCACCAGGTTTCTGTTAGCCCTACTAAGTCATAGGTGTTTTGTGAAAGCAGGAGCGCTAGTTCATTCTGCTTGTTCCCCATGCTCCTAACATTAGTATATAGGCACTTGAGCCCTGCGACTGGTGCCTTTGCTGCCCCCCTGCTCCGAGTCCCAAGGGGCCCCTTATTTCTTACCTTCTCGTTGCTTACCTGTGCTGTAGTGCTGGCCCCCCATGGCTTGCAGGTTTCCACAAGTTGGTTCACCCCTGTGTGCCTTACCCCTGACTTAGTCTCTTTTTGGAGCAGACGCTGTCTCTTATGGGGTTTTCGGCCTATTTTAACAAGTGTACCCCTTCTGTCTCAGTTTCAGCTCATGTACCCCTGTATATTAAAATTATTTGCGGGGGCTGAGCACATGCACACATACCTGCCACCTCCCCAGCAGGTAAGTCTGTGGAGGAGGGAAAAGACAGATCGAGGCCCCTGCAGTGAGGGAGGGAGTGGGGCACAGACAGGTGCAGGGGCTGGGGTGAATGGGGCCCTGGCTGGGCCAGGTCGTGGGGCAGTCGGAGCCCAGGCAGCATGTCCAGGTGAGCGGCTCCTGCCACTGTGCACACCCCAGTGGAGGCCTGGGGGACATATGCCCCCCTGATCTGTGCGCGGGGCAGAGATGGCAGCTGCTGTGCCCTGGGCTTTGTGCACCACTGCAGCTGCCCCGGGAGTGGTGTGACGCCACATGTGTCCTGCTGCTGGGCAGGCAGGGGGCATGGTGTAGCCCAGTGCCGGCAGGCACATGACGTCGTACGACTCCCAGGGCAGCTGCAGTAGTGCACAAAGCCCAGTGCACAGCGGCAGCCACCTCTGCCCCACACATAGAAGGGGGGCCACATGCCCCCCTGGGCTTCCCCTGGGGTATGCGCAGTGGCAGAACCCTCCCCCATACCCTGTACAACCTTTTTAAGTACCCCTAGGGGTACGTGTACCCCTGGTTGACAATCACTGTCTTATGGTAAGTACACAGTATCCATACAAAGGTCCCTAAAGTTGTTTGGGAGATATGAGCACTATAATACAAATAAGAGCACAGAAACTACCTCAGATCAGTGGTCTCATGTGTCAGGAAGTTGTTTTCTGGTTGTTATAATTTCTAATCCGGATGCATTTTAAAATTATCATATTTCTTAGTGCTCAGTGTCAGTCAACAATTCAAATATCTGAAGTCTGTCTACACTATCTTTTGATACCTTTTAATAGCTCCTTCTTGTCCAGTTAGCAGAGCATGACCCACTCTCTCTCTCTCTCTCTCCTTGCTTTATCTTTTTCTGGTGCCTCTCCCCAGCAAGTATCCTAGTTCTTCAGACTCTGGTATGAAGACACAGCAAATACACAGGTCCTTCTTTACTATCCTGGTTGTAAATGTTCGGTAATTTCTCAACTACAAATAAATTTCTTCCTTTCCATTGTGTTGTCTGTTGTTTGCTTTATCAATAGTTAAATTCTGTATATTGACAAGCTGGTAAACTTAATTATCTGCTGTAAGACTTCTGTACCATTGTTCTTAGCTTTGGAACTTTTGGAGTGTGTAGGTGAAACAGGGACCCTAAATTGAAGCAGTGGGTTTTAAAAAACACCGTTTCAAGTTAGGGCTGATTAAACCCCCGTGTTATGCACATACCCCGCTGATTTACCTGCCTCTCCGGTGGGGAGGGGAGGGCAGTTGCTGGCGGGCAGAGTGGTCCTTTGGCTGTTGTTTCCCTCCACAGCAGCGGCGGTCCCTCTCCTCAGGCAGCACTCGCCCGCAGGCACCTGGCTCGGGTGGTCCCAGGGGGCACCTTGGCTCGGGTGGTCCCAGGGGGCACCGCAGCTACAGAGGGGCCCCTGCGCAGCTCAGGCAGGCAGGCTCCAGGGGGGAAAAAAATTAAAAGATCAGGCTCACTGCTTTTCTTGGGTGGAGCCTGCTTTCCTGGGCTGCTGCCAGGCTGCCTGCAGGGCTTCCTGCAGAGCTGCATGGAGCCCAGTGCTTTGCTCTGTGGCTGTAGGGCAGCAAACTAAAACTTCTCAGAGGAGTTTTAGTTTGCTGTGTCCCAAGTCATTTAAGGTGCATTACACTGCCAAATTTGCTACAGCGGTTGGAAATAATGTGCAATATGCTGCCAAGGCGTGCAAGCACCAACACCATTAAAGTGGCACAAAAGCATTTAGCCCACTTTAAAGTGTCATGCACACTCCCCCCTCGCTTCATCTACACACAGATTGACAGTATTGTATATTGACAAGATGTGTAACAGGTTTTATAACGGTCTCTGAAGCATCACTTACCAGACAAAGTAGGCCATTGGTCTGTGAGTGTTGTGTACAGCTTTGATGATATTTGGCATTGTAATCTGTTACTGTTGGACATAGCCTTATTCTCTAACAGGATCCTTCTAAAATCCATCTTAGTTTAAAAATCCACATAGTAAATGTAGGCATACTCATATCAATAACTTATATCTGGCCTTATACAAGAGTGGATTTACCCTGAATGTTATATTAATACATGTTAGGCTGAGCAGATCATTTAATGCAGTCCATTGATTTTCCCTGTAATACTTTGAAACTCAAGTCATAGCTCTAATTTTGTGTACTGTACCTATTTGATCTAACATTAAAATGTCATATGCAAGTTACCTGGGATATCATTATGAAATCATACAAATTTCCATGATTTCCCAGGACTCTGCAAGGAATATGGTGTCACAGCAACATTTCCTAGATTAAAGCATAATTACATTTGGAAACTGATCTAATACTTAATATTATGCAGCTGGGGGAAGCAATTAAGACAATAAGAGATAATTTGGGGATGTTTAGGGAGGTGGTTTGTGATGACTTTTTTGTTAGTAAATTGATATTCTTTGGATTAAACCAAGTTGAATTCAACCCCTAGCTGGAGCTGGGCCACAATGGCTTTCAGTCTAAAGCCAGGTTAAAGAACAGAACTTATCATCTGTCATTGCCATATGAAAAGTTCATCATGCTTTAGTTAAGAAGGCATGACATCTAGAAACCAGCAACTAGAGGGAGCTTCCTTAACATGATATACTTTACCACATGCTTAGAAAACCAGTTTTCAAAAGCACCTATGTAAGACAGACTTAAGTCTCACTGATTCTCATTTTGGTTATTTCACAAATCCTTTGCTTTTAGGTTAGAAATCTAAGTTACAAAGGCTAGGTACAGACACTCAAAAAGCCTGAGGTGGAATCCACCTAAGTTATGTGTTTTTTCTATAAGCACCATATTTTAGATTGGTAGCAAACATATTCATCCCTTGGAAGCATATTCATCCCTTGGAAGGTGGAGGGAGGGGGCAAATCTTAGACCAGGTTCCTCCATTTTTAAACCAATCTATGTGTGCTGAACTTCTGTTCTGTTACAGATATAGACTGGTTTCTGATCACTTATACTAGTAAAAATGTAATGTCTATACCTAGCCTTAGAGTGTAGTGTTGAAGCCTATTCTAGGAACAAAAGTCCCATGGACTTGAAAGAGATTGCATTCTATATACCCCTCCCAGTCAAGACAATGGATGCAGTAGGGCAGCAGGGAAGGTTTCCAAGGTAAAAACTCGCCCCAAATTACACAAAAATATACAAAAATGATAGGTAAGGCTGGGGAAAAAATACTAGATTAGCTCCATCTCCTTACAAGGAAAGATATAGTTCACTTAATGAAGACGTATTAGCTAGTGTTAAAACTCTTAACTTTTGCTGTTTGCAGTTTTTCAAACACAGGAAAAAAATAATTGTGAATATTGCTAACTGGGACAGGCCTTGAACACCAATTTTTTTGTGTACAGATTTTCTTTTTATTATTGTATTTTTTCTGAGTTACCTATTTGTATTATAAAGCTATAATGTAATTAACCCCTGCTGATAAGCAGGTACAATAATTCATCGCTGTTCAGAATATACAATAGATTTTCCTTATTCTCAGTAGGGGAACACAATAACTTTTCAGCTATCAAATTCTCATTCTTATGCTGTTCCTCAGGTGAATACAAAGATTTTGGAGTATAATGTTCGAAAGCAGTTAAGTAATTTTAGAAGCCTGTTTTGAGTTACTGAGGCACTTGCGCTTTTTAATGAGACAGATTTAGTAAGAACTACTTATGAGAGTAAGGGAATACACAAGTAGTTCATGAAACAGATATTCCTTTAATTCAGCTATAACAGCAGTGCCAGAAGCGTGACTATTGATGCCAAGTATACATCAATATACCGTGGTGTATTGGTGATAAGCAGTTGTATATGGTATATGGATTGTTTTAGAGTGTTTCAGAGAATGAACTTAGTCATATATGTTAATAAAACACTGATTTTGCTTTATGTTTTTAGGGTCTCATGACTCCTTTAGCTTCTATATCGATGAAGCCTCTCCAGTTGGACCTGAACAACCAGAAACTGTCCAGAATTTTGTCTCTGTATTTGGAACTGTGGCAAAAAAGTTGATGAGAAAGTGGTTGGCAACACAAACGATGAACTTTACTAGCCAGCTGGGAGCAGGCATACGATATTTTGATCTCAGAATTTCCACTAAACCCAGAGACCCTGACAATGAGCTTTATTTTGCTCATGGTTTATTCAGTGCTAAAGTCAATGAGGGCCTTGAAGAAATCAATGCATTTCTCACTGACCACCCCAAAGAAGTAGTCTTCTTGGACTTCAATCATTTCTATGGGATGCAGAAATACCACCATGAAAACCTGGTCCAAATGCTCAAAGACACCTTTGGAATTAAAATGTGCCCAGCTATATTTGCCCATGAAGTAAGTCTCCAGTACCTGTGGGAAAAGGAATACCAAGTGTTGGTGTTTTATCACAGTCCAGTGGCTCTTGAGGTACCATTTCTTTGGCCAGGTCAGATGATGCCAGCTCCTTGGGCAAACACAACAGATCCAGAAAAACTGATTCAGTTTCTCCAGGCGTCAATCACTGAGAGAAGAAAGAAGGGCTCTTTTTTCATATCTCAAGTGGTTTTGACCCCGAAAGCTAGTACTGTGGTAAAAGGGGTTGCCAGTGGTCTCAGAGAAACCATCACAGAAAGGTAAGTGTCTGGATGGCAATGTGCATTCAAAATGATTGTGCTCTGTCTGTGCGCCATTAACACTGCTTTTATAATCCTTATTAGGGAAGATTTAGCAGATGCATTTTTTGTTCTCTTCTGTGATGAATTAAGGTCAGAGCTCAAGGGCAGGCTTAAAGTGTTTAATGGAAAAGCAGTGGAAAGGCGAGAAGGGTTTTTTCCATCTTGAGGGAAAGTCGGTATTAAAGCTTAAACGATGTCTTGGCTTTTTCTAAATATTGTTCATTTATTTTACCCTGTAACACTCTAATTTTTATTCAGAAAAATATAGCTTTTAGAAATGAGCAAGTCTCTGCAATAATTCAGCCAGAGGACAGGTTTCTATGCAAGCATTGGTTTCAGCTACTGGAGAAATGGTTATTGCACTTAGTCAGATGATGCCATATCTCCTTCCTTTCACACACTCTATGATAGGACATAAGAATCCTCTGTTTATTTTCATGTACTATATCAAATGTGCCTCCTCCCCCATCCCCCTCCCTCCCAAATCCCACACTCATCATAGAAGGAGGCAAGACTTCTTCTGGAGAGTCATCATAGTTGTGCAGAGTAATTGTAATGTCGTTGGGCTACTAACTCTTGTATTACAAGCATCAGTATCCATACAAAAAGTATATTATTTGAACCTGTCTGACTGTGACATATTACAGTCAGTGTTCACAAATGACTTAAAGGCATATCTCTTGTGTGATATATCCCCACCAAATTTCAGATTTCCCATTGTGTTACTACTAAGGTGCAGGATCTCTTCTAATAAATGTCACAGATTTTTTAAAACGTTACAGTAGGGTGTAGCGGCCTGTTAAAGTTCTGTAGTCTCTGAAAACATGTAAATCTGCCTGGATACAGCGAATGGCATGGCAATGTGACATTACTTCTCCCTACATCCTCCTTCCTTTAGCCCAGATCCTACCTCATTCTTGAAAAGAGCTCAATTGTTTTTATGACAGCTTTCTAAGACCACAGCTGACTGGGGGAAGGGGTAACACAAACTTCAGACAAGAGGATAAAGTAGCCAAAAGTTTAGGTCAGTTGAAACTGACTGCAGAAATGCTTGGACAGCTTAATGCCCTGAGGAAGGGCACTGAATGCCCAAAAGCTTGTTCAACAGCTCTCAAAACTATCCAGTTTGTCCAATAGAAGGTACTGCTAAAAATTCTTGCCTCTTGGGCGAACTTAATGCATTGTCATTGCTCTATGGATTAGTGTGTTCACAGGCTCCCTGCACAGGGATCATCTCTTGCTGAATGTCTGGATAGTACCCTCCTTTCTTTGCTGAAGCTTGTTATTTGGTTATTAGAGTTGAGCAATCATCTAATTTATTTTAGGTGTTAGCTTTTACTGAAAAAATCTTAAGCTCTTTTTAATTTTAAAATAACACAACTGACAAGCTGCCAGTGGCTCCCAAGCTTTCTCCCTTGCAATTGCAAGAATTTTTGAAAATTGTGATATCTATATTTTGAAAAGCACAACAAGAATCCCCCTTTTCCTCTACATACAAGAGTTTTAGAGCAACTGAGGAGGGGGAAAAGGCATAAGTAGATTCATGATGTGATGTTTGGCTGATTTGAATAATTTGAACCTCTGGGCTCCGAGCAGCAAATTTGTACTTGAAACCTGAGTCCATTACTAATGAACTTATATGAAATATGAGTAGATTCTTGGGCAGGACTATCTGATGACCATCTCTAAGTTATGATGGAGATTTTCACAGAATCCACAAGAGAAATGAAATCTGGTCTAAAAGATTTATTCTCCCCCCTTGTTCAATTACTCTTATAACAGCTGCAAAAGAAATGGAATTTCAAGATGTTCCCAGGCCTGTGACATATTACCTGCCAGGAATAGTATGTGGTGATAAAATTTCATTAGTTAATGCTAAAATAGAGTGCAGTTAGATATATCCTTTGGGAGTACATTTGAGATATACAGAGTAAATCGCACTGAATTTACTGTGATAACTGCTTTGAAAGTGAATATAAAATACATTCCAAAGCTGCTGCTCATATGACTGTGATCCTGTTCAAAAATAGATAGATGAGCAATACAAGGAAACAAAAAACATTACTATGTCTAGAATCCTTCCCATCACCAGTGCATGCAGATTTTTACTCATTTATAAGCACATCATCCTTAATGTTAGTGCATTGGCCCATATAGGCAATGGTCATTATCCTGAACTAATTAGACATATCATTATTAACTGATTAATCCTTATTCTTCTTTATTCCACCTTTTGTGAATGGCTGTCTAGTTCATTTTATGGTATGGTGGTATCCTGATTGATTTTACATTCACTTGTTTTTATATATATATAAATAAAAATTAACAAGTACTATATATAGTGTGAACATGTTTACACACACGCACTGGGTACTTGGATAAGTTGTAGCATGTCTGATTAGTAGTTTAACCTTGAAAGCTTTTATTGCTGGGGCACTTTGGTTTTGCTAGCAGGATCAAACAAGAACTGGGAGGAAATTTTCCAATGAATACTAAATTTATTCAGTAGGCATGTGCAGTTTCTGGCACTGCAAATCACATGCCCATCATATTAAAACATACCCTGTGCTCCAAATTTGCAGCTCAGCAAAATCTGGGTGGGGAAAAAAAAGCTGTTAAAAAAGTAGTGTGGCGTAGGTCACAGGAGCATGCGTTGGCAGACACGGAGGCTTGGTTCTCCAGAGAGATGCTTCGGCTGCTGACCAGAGTGTCTTTCCACCTTTAGTTCCACTCTGGCTCCTCCAGCATGCCAGGAACCAGGAGAAGCAGGGAAAGGGCAGTTTGCCAAAAGTGGGACAGTTTGCCCTGCACCACAATGCACATGCAGGGGTTTGTGCAGCAGCAAAAAATGGTGGCACAAATTTGTGCCACTACTATATTTGCCTCTGCAAGCACACACCCCTGCATGTGGGAACATATCTTAAAAGTGTAGTATGTTGTCCTAGTGCATTTCCTGATTGCTCCTGTCTATCAGTGACATCTTTATGATCTGCCAAGTCATTCACCTCTTACCTGCCTGGAGTCCCAAAAGCAGTAACAGTGCTCAATCATTCATGATTGTACACAGTCCGTTTCTGCTATCTTTTTGGCCAGATTCCTCCTCTGGTTTTGCCTCTTTCTCATCTCCATCCCCCAAAATATTATGCAACCTTATTATTATTTAAGGAGGGTAAAACTTTATAAGTTCCATTTTTTATTTCTATTTTGATCCCTTAGGGATTCATTGCAAAATGTACCTTGAAGCTTAGCCAACAGGCAACATGTGGGCACGCTGCAAAGTGCTGTATTGGACATGGGCATTGCCATAGCAGTCTGGATGCTGCCTTAGTACATCTTCCACACTCCTGAGACCTTGGAAGAAAAAGAAAAGAGACTACTAGTTAAACTGCTACTCCCCTTCCCACTCTGCTTCCAATAGACCTTACCTCCGATGCAATGCCAGCCACAACTATTGCCCTGGTGTGGCTTTGCCTGTTCAAACTGCAGTACAGCAGTCCTTAGTATAGAAGAAGCTATAAAGTGCATCTGAGCAGTCCTTTTTGGGATGATAAATGATTTTGTTCTTTTCCTTCCCTCTGGCATTATAGCAGATGTACAACATAGGAGGACCATGGCAACCTAGATAAAAGGAAAGTCATCTCAGACCCTCCTAAGATATACAGTTCAGTAGCAGATATACCAGGTCTGTTTTTTACTGATAACATTTGCTTAGGGGCCTTTCTGTTGCTACAACACACAACTCCCTCTGGGATAATAAACTCAAAGAAAGAGAAACTATAACATCACCAGTCCTCTTGCCCCTCTGTGCTGCACAGAAATGGAAGAAAGCCATTTTTTATAATCTCCTTCCTGTTTAAAATTCAGTGGTTTAGAATTTTTTACAACAACATTTGCCATCAATGGTTAAATGAGGAGGATTGTTCACATGATTGCACATTATTTTTTCTTGGATGTGATGAGAAAATTTGAACACTAACAATATGCTTTCATGCTTAACATTCTGGCATGCAAAATTTACATGCCAAGAAATAGTCTTTGATTAACAAACAGTACACACCAAATGAATTACGTTTCCTCTGCTTATTGAATTAACTTGACAGTGAGGCAACTTGCTTTAGAATAGCTGAAAAAAGGTTGTGAAACAGCTTTGCACTTTTCATCAAACTTTTGGGTTGTTTTTTTTTAATTTCAGTGAAATTGCCAATTTTATCTCTGGTAAATGACATTGGAGAAAAGCATGCTCTTATCCTTGCTATCTCTGAGGTTGAATAATGTAGGGTAGAATACGGTATGTCCCCTAAAGGACCTAAAAATGTTGAGGTAGTTCTGCTGCACTGGGAGAAAAGAAAAATAAGGCACAACTCCAACCAGTTGTTTCTGTGAGGCAACACTTTACTTACAAATTAATCTCTAAGGGTAATGCACCCTGTAGCACACACAATTAAATTCTTGCCTACCACACTAAAACTGTACTCTTCCCCCTTAGCAACCAAAGCAAAGATGCATCCTTAAGAACCTTTTGAAATTAAAACTGAAGCATAATAAATAAATAAAATAGATAATCGAGTCAGAGGTGCCATCCCTGGTGGCTGTGGATCAGACCTAGTTTGGAGGGAGGTAGATATAGAGGCATCCCATTACCTATAGGAGGTAACTATAGATGTCACTATTTCTCATCCTAGTCCATTCGTAGCATCTAACAGAGTAGGCTGTTGCCTACTAAAGCTCATGCCTCTGAACCAGTTAGTCTCTAAAGTGAAACTTTGTCCTGCCTTCTGCCACTCTAAGACATTTTTGAGGCTTTGCGATGCAGGCTGTGCAACCTTACAGTGTTTGTAATCCAGACATTACCACACTTGAGCTTTTTAAAGTTTGTTTGCAATAAATGGTACCAACGTTTGACCAAACTTACTGATCACATTGGCATTCTACACTTCCACCTTTCCACCTGGAGTCTT